GCAGGTGCCTCAGATAGCATGACCGCCCAGTTTATATCTCTTGTCCCAATATGATTATTACTAGCACCCTCCCCCTTTTACTCTCAAAGTTTGTGCAATAAATTAATTGTTAGGTTTTTCTTAGGCCATGGTAAAGAATTCCAATTTTAGCCGTGGAGATCTCATAGCAGAAGAGTAACCGAAATCAGAGTGATCTGATTTAGATTTTAAAATACCTTTCAGGGAATTCCCTGGCGGTCCAGTGGTTAGGACTCTGCACTTTCACTGCCGGGGCCCAGGTTCAATCTCTAGTCGGGGAAATAAGATCCCACAAGCTGCGCGGCACAGCCAAAAAATAAAAAAAAATATATGGGACTTCTCTGGCGGTCCAGTGGTTAAGACCCCACGCTTCCACTGCAGGGGGCGCGGGTTCGAGCCCTGGTTGGGGAACTAAGATCCCACGTGCTGCGCGGTGCGACCAAAAAAACAAAGCTTTCAATGATTGCTAATTTTGAAGGGGTGATAACTGTTACGTGAAGCATTTTCGAGGTGCGTACTGCAGGATGTAGGGGAGAAAGGCCATCGTGACTGAGAGTAGCTTCAAAATAATTCACTGAAAGAGAAAGTGAAGAGGCTGGATGAAGCAGCTGTAACAAAAAAACTTGATAGGTGTTGAATCTGAAAAATGGGTCCATGGAGGTTCATGGTACGATTTTCTCTACTTTTGTGTCTGTTCCTAGAATAGACTGAATGTTTGTACCTCCCACACACACACAACACACACACACAAAATTCGTATGTTAAATCTTAAGCCACAGCGTGATGGTATTTGGAGATGGGGGTGTCTCTGGGTGGTGATTAGGTCATGAGGTTGGAGCCATTTTGAATGAAATTCGTGCTCGTATAAAGGAAACCCCAGAGAGCTCCCTCACCACTTCAGCCACATGAGAACACAGGGAACCTATAACATCTATGAACCAGGAAGTGGGCTGTCGCCAGACACAGAATCTGCCAGCCCCTTGGTCTTGGACTTCGAGCCTCCAGAACCATGAGGAAAAAAAATATCTGTTGTTTATAAGACACCCAGTCTGCGGTATTCTGTTACAGCAGACACAGCAAACTAAGACAATTTCCCTTTTTTTTTTTAAAGAATAAAAATACTTCTCCCTGACTGCTGCTTGAGGGTCAAGAGTAAAAAGTGTGGCTCTGCTAGGATGAGAATGAGGTTGCCCTGTGCAGCCTGGGTTGTAGTGACTCGGGTTGGGGAAGCCAGGGAGACCTGGACGGATGGAAGGTGTATTTGGGGTGGATGGATCAGGGGTGAGGGGTAAAGCCAGGGAAGAAATCTGTGTCATATCAGGAAGGGCTCAGTCATTCAACAAAGATTCATTGAGCATCTACCCTGTGCCAGACACAGTGCTGCGCTGGGGGATCCAGTGGTGGGCGAAGCAGCCGTGATCCCAGCCCTCTTGGAGCTCACCGTACTGGAGGAGAGACTGACAATAGATAATCACAGAGGTCTAGAATTACAAACGAAGGAAAAGGAGAGAGTTCTCGCAGCGCTTGAGAGTGGGAGGTCCTACGCCAGGATATTGTTCTGTCCCTCAAGGACCACCTTCTGCTTCTCCATCCTGACGTCTTCCCCAAGAAGGTGACCCTCAGAAGCCAGGTCAGCAGCCTCCCTTGTCCTCTGGTTTCTAGCTGGCTCTGGCCACGGGGAGGTAGGAGATCTGAAGAAGTTGAGTGAGGGGAGATGAGACGTTCTCCAGCCTCCTCTGGTGGTATGTTCTTAGTAAAGATACCGTTCATGCTCCTTTGCTACTCCGCTTACTGAGAATCCATGTTCCTTCCCCCAGAATCTGGGCTGACACTGTGACCTCTGTCAGCCACGGGTTGACTGTGGCAGAAGTGACCCTAGGTAGCCTCCAAGAGCGGACCTTAAGCCATCAGCAGCTCTACCTTCACCTCCTAAAACACTCCTTCTTGAACTCGGCCACCATGTTGTGAGGAAGCCCAAGCAGCTGTGTGGAGAAGCCACGTGAGTGAGGACCATGCCCCCAGCCACCAGCCCAGCTGGCAGCCAGCATCTGTGGACCTGCCCGGCACCCTGGCATTCCAGAACTATTCAAGCCAGAAGGTGATAAGAAATACTAAATTTTTGTAGTTTTAAGTCACTACCTTTGGGGTGTTTTGCTTTTTTTTTTTGCAGCAACAAATAACAGAAATGCTCAGGCTGGCCACGACCCTTTCCAAGTAAGGCAGCCCCTCTCCTTCCAGGTTCCAAGGTCATTCCCTCCCCTCTAACCTTCAGCCCTAGGAGTGAGAACAGCTTCACAACTCCTTTTGTTTTCCTCACACCTTTAAAACAGTCCCTGTGTTAAAACCTCTTCAAAATCTCCCAGTTTTAATGCACTGTCCCCTTCCGGCTTGGACCCTGACAGATATGAGAACTGATTCTGTGGTGAAAAAGGAACTAATTAGAGAAGAGGAAGAGAATCCTAGAGATAGCATTCTGGGGAAAAGCCTGGAGGTAAGAAAGAATAGTCATTAAAAACAGCAAGTCTGGAGCCAGATAATCCAGGTTCAAATCTCGGCTCACGTGTGGGCATGATACTTACTTCTCTGGACTTCAATTGCCCCATCTGTAAAATGGGGCTAATAATACCTATTTCAGAGGGCTGTGCTGTGAACCAAGTGAGCTCCTATCTGTGAAGACCTTAGAACTTTAGCGTGCTTATTTAATAAAACAAACAAACTGAAAGATCTCAGGTTGGTAGAGGGGAGAGGGGAGAATATGAGATGTGAGGTCAAAAAGTAAGCAAAGGTGGGACTTCCCTGGTGGTCCAGTGGTTAAGACTCCTGGCTTCCACTGCAGGGGGCACGGGTTCAACCCCTGGTCAGGGAACTAAGATCCTACATGCTGTGCGGTGAGGCCCCCCAAAAAAAGCAGAGGTGAGGCCCTCCTTTTCCACCATATGTCAATTCAGAAAGCCTTCACTGGCTGGCCCAGATGGGGTCAGGTCCCTCAATCATTCATTCATTCATTCCACAAACCACGGCATGCATTGGGCCCTGCTGTGAAGACAGGGGTGTCTTTGCCCTTGTGGTGCTTTCATAGCAGTGGGGGGCACAGACATAAGCAATCAGGCTGGGTAAAATTAGAGTGCCGTGAAAATAAAACAAGAAGACGTCGTAAGGAGAGTTACTTGAGATGGGCCGGCCAGGGGAGGCCTCTCTGAGGAGGTGGCATCGGAGCCAGACTTTGAGGGAGAACGTGGGGACCTGTGAAAAGTGCTTAGAGCAGTGAGCATAGCACGTGCCAAGGTCCCGGGGTGAGCACAGGCTGAACACATCAGAAGATCCACAAGAGGCTAGGGAGGCTGCATCTCAGGGAGTGGCAGGGGGAGAAGTGGGGGACCTGGACCAGCGCCAGAGCTGCAGGGCCTTGTGGGCCCTGGAGAGGGGTCTGGGCTTTATACCTGGGCAACGGGAAGACAGTGCAGGATTTAAGCAGGAAGTAACTCGATCCTGTTTGCTTTGAAAAAGGTTCACTCTGTGACCTCTGTAATACACCCTCCCAGAAGCAGATTCCTTTCCCTGAGAGCATTTTTCTCAGGTGCAGGTGGCATTATAGACCCAGTGGTGTGAGAATAATATCTTTGTCCCCACTGGTCTGGGACCTGTGTGAGACCGTGTCCCCCTTGCTCACAGGAAACTCTCAGTAAACACAGTTAAACAAAGAACCCTGTGAGTGAGTGTCCTGTGGTCCCTCTCGGCACCACCCCATGTCTGCCCAAACAGGACTTTCTGCTGCTGGCAACCGTGTGCAGAATGGTGTTGCCATCCATTTCTTGTCAAAGAATATTTCCAGAATATTTCCAGAACCTGCTTGGACCTGGGTTTCAGCCACCCCCGGCACACACCTCAACCTGGTGTCCAGAAGCAGTGTCCTCACTGAGGAAAGAAAATGGCAACTTTGCTGTTCTAAAGTTGAGTGAATTTTTTAAAAGGGCAAAGGCCTTTTCTATCCTAAAGGATTCTTTGTACCAACGTTGGCCTCAACAACACTCCTGCTTGGCGGCACAGCGGCCGTCCTCTTGCTCTGATGCTGTGGGATGTGTCCCCAGGCATCGGCAGGCCCCAGGCAGACAAGGTGGGTGTTGTAAAGGAAGGGGCCGTGACAGGAGCTGCAGTTTTCTGGGCAGGACAGAAAATGTTCTGTCAGGAGAAACAGCAAAACAGATGGGGACCTGCTGCAGACAGAGCTGTTTAGTTAGGCTGAAGCACGAACCCTTGGCTTTCATTGAAGAAAGCCAGTGTACAGCAGGCCACACACGGTGAGAGGTTAAGTGGTTCTCTTGAGTTAGGAAGAGAAGCCTGAAAAACTCCACTCAGATTTCAACAAACCAGCGCTAGTACACTTTGGACCTGAAAACAAAAGCCCTAAGAAATCGAGAGAAAGAGAGAGAAAAAGTTGGACTGTGGGGCTTTTGTGTGCTTTTAGATACTTCCCTGAAGGCTGCTGGCATAATCATGCCACCTTCACATTCCACATTTCAGTTCCTTGAACAAAGTTCACTCCCACCCCAGGGCCTTTGCACCTGCTGTGCCCTCTGCCTGGAATCCTTCCCCTGCCCCTCTTCACATAGTTGGCTCTTCTTCATTCAGTTCTCTGCTCAAATGTCACCTTCCCAGAGAAGCGCCACCCTCCCTCACTCTCCAGCAAACCACTCTATCTTCCTTCTTGAACGTCGTCTGAAATTATTCTGTTGGTTTATTTGTGGACTTGCTGTTGTGTCTGTCTCCCCCCGCTGGAATGCAGCTCTACGACAGCAGGGACCTCTCTCATGCTCTCCAGTGCCCAGAACCATCCTGACACATAGAAGACACTCAGTAAACATTCACCGCATAAGTAAATCAATAAAGCTGTTGACTGCGGCTGCTGGCTACTTGCCAGAGGGTTTCACATCTGCAGCCATTGAGATGCTTTTGGCTGAAAGTACTAGAAAGCACCAACCTGAGCCGTTTAACAATGAAGACATTTATTATTTCCACAAAAGGGGGAAGTCCTGAGACGGAGCAGCTTTGGGGTTCTCAGTTTCCGTGGTCAAGGATGGACATCATTGAGCACCCACGTTCTTTCCATCTTCCTGCCCCAGCATCTGCTGCAATGCAAGCTGGCAGCCATCAACCCGGAAGTCCCCCAGCACACCACCCCCGTGTCTTATTGGCCAAAATTTGGTCATGTGTCCACTTCTCAGCCAATCATAGTGAGGGAATGGTGTCAACCTCAAACTTAGCTGACCTTTAGAATCCTGGGGGGCTTCAAAGTCAGAGCTCATGCCCCGTTCTCGGAGATTTTCGGGGTCCGGGGTCCAGCACCGGGGTTGGTGTTTTTGACTCCCTGTGTGACCCCCACGTGCAACGGGGGCTCAGAGCCATTCATCTCGGGCTGTGGTTCTCCATTCTGAGAGATGGGAACAAGATAGAAATGCAAATTCTTGGTCCTTACCCCAGACCTGCTGAGTCACACACTCTAGGGCGAGGCCCAGTATCTGGGTCTTCACAAGCCGTCCAGGGGATCAGAACTCCTGGGGACTGCGAGAAGGGAGGAGAAGAATCTTCCAGAAGAACAAATGCTTTGAGTGCAGCCTGTGGTTGGGAGGGAGGGACTCCCACGCTGACGGGTCCCCCAGCTCCTCTACCAGGAGACAGGCCCATGGTCTCCCATTCCATCCTTTCCTCTGAGGCCACTGAGATCTGCAGCAGCTTCAGATGTCCCCGGGCTCTGTGACCTTGATTTTGATTTTGGCTCTCAAGTGTGGCCTGAATTGAAGTTAGTGCAATCAGCTGGGGGCTCCATGGGCAAAGGGCATCTTCTCTTCCAGTTCCTCTCTCCCCAGACCTGCCCCGCAGGGAAGGGAGACAGGTTCTCAGGCGGGAAGGGGTTTATTTCAGCAAGGTGTTTACCGGTCCTAAGATACTGGAATCAAGTTCCTGAAACTCTACCCGAAGGAACTCATTCAGAGAGCAACAAGACACCAGCATCAGCCCAGGCTTTGTTATTGATGTAAAAGCATTTGAGTCGTTTTTCCTCTTCGTTCTGTTTTCTCTCCCTCCTACCCCCAGCTAACCATTAAGATTTCGCTTGTCTTGATATTTCTCGAATCCTTTTATTTCTCTCCATCTGTAGTGGGTAGAATTGTGTCCCCCAAAAAAGATATGTTCAAGTCTTAACCCCCAGGACCTGTGAGTGTGACCTTATTTGGAAATAAGGTCTTTGCAGGTGTGATCAAGTGAAGAATTGTGTCCCCCAAAAAATGTATGTTCAAGTCTTAACCCCCAGGACCTGTGAGTGTGACCTTATTTGGAAATAGGGTCTTGCGGGTGTGATCAAGTGAAGATGAGGTCATCCGGGATTGGGGTGGCCCTAAATCCAATGACTGGTGTACTTATAAGAGGAGGGGACACAGGGGAGGCTGGAGTGATGGGTCTACAAGCCAAGGAACGCCGGCAGCCACCAGAACTGGAAAAAGCAAGGAAGCTTCCTCCGGTAGAGGCTTTGGAGAGCATGCGACACCTTGGTTTCCAACTTCTGGCCCCCAGAGCTCTGAGAAACACATTTCTGTTGTTTGAAGCTGCCCAGGTTGTTGTACTTTGTTACGGCAGTGCTCGCAAATGAATGCACCATTTCCACTGCCTTGGTTAGATCAGTGGTTCTCACACCTGAGGCACTTCAGAATCACCTGGTGGGATGGTGGTAGGGGGGACCCAAAGAGCTGCCCCCCGCAACCAGGGGGCCTGATTCAGTAGGTCTGGATGGGCTTATAATTTTGCATTTCTAGCAAGTTCCCGGGAGACACTGACGCTGCTATTTTGGAGACCACACTTTGAGAATCACTGAAACACCATCATCCTGCCTGGACGACAGACCCATCCCCCAACTGGCCTAAACTGTCTTCTCCATCCCCCACCCGCAGGCAGACAGAGCTTCTTAAAACTCACCGTGGAGGGCTTCCCTGGTGGCGCAGTGGTTGAGAGGCCGCCTGCCGAGGCAGGGGACATGGGTCCGTGCCCCGGTCCGGGAGGATCCCACATGCCGCGGAGTGGCTGGGCCCGTGAGCCATGGCCGCTGAGCCTGCGCGTCTGGAGCCTGTGCTCCGCAATGGGAGAGGCCACAGCAGTGAGAGGCCCGCGTACCGCAAAAATAAAATAAAATAACAGGGGGACTTCCCTGGCGGTTCAGTGGTTAGGACTCTGCACTTCCACTGCAGGGGGCACAGGTTCAATCCCTGGTGGGAGAACTAAGATCCCACATGATGTGCGGTGTGGCCAAAAATATTCTTTTTCGTTAAAAAAAATAAACAATTAACTTTTCTTCCCCTGCCCCCCTTTTGGCCCCATCGCATAGTATGCAAGGTCTTAGTTCCCTGGCCAGGGATTGAACCCGGGCCCCCTGCAGTAGAAGGGCAGAGTCTTCCCTGGACCGCCAGGGAAGTCCCTTAACTTCCTCTTTAAAAAAACTATTTTACTGAGTCACACACCATAAAGTTAAGCCTTTGAAGGCATAGGATTCCATGGGTTTTAGTACGTTCATAATGTTGGACAACTCTCACCACCATCTAATTCCAGAACATTTTTATCTCCCCCAAAAGAAACCCCATACCCTTTAGAAAGTCACTCCCTGCTCCCCCTCCCCCAGCCCCCGACAACCACTCATCTGCTTTCTGTTTCTGTGGGTTTGCTTATTCGCACAGTTCATATAGATGGAATCCAATCAACTGTTAAAAAGAACGTAAGCAGGACTTGAATGGACCAAATGATGAGGTTGGGGTGCGAACCATGGATTACAGTTCATTCAATTCTGTGCTCTGACAGCCAACGGGAAAAGCCAGAATCTGGGTCATTGTGGCGATGTTCAGGTACTAAATTAACCCCTACTGGAGCAGCCCCACTTCTGGCGTCTTGTTATGCAACGTAACAAAGGTCTCTATTGTTCTAGTCGCTTTTGATTGGATTTTTCCTTACTTACCACCCAGAGCCCTCAAAGTGATATGACCCAGAAACCCACACCCCTACGGCTGCAGTTCCCTCCAGCCACGAGCCTTTGCACATGCTGTTCCCGCCGCCTGGAAAGATTCTCCGACCAGCTGCGGCTTCCCCGTCCTTTTGACTTCAGCCTCTGTTTAAAAGTTACCAGAGAGCTTCCCTGTTGGCGCAGTGGTTGAGAGTCCGCCTGCCGATGCAGGGGATGCGGGTTCGTGCCCCGGTCCGGGAAGATCCCACATGCCGCGGAGTGGCTGGGCCCGTGAGCCATGGCCGCTGAGCCTGCACGTGTGGAGCCTGTGCTCCGCAATGGGAGAGGCCACAACAGTGAGAGGCCCGTGTATCGCAAAAAAAAAAAAAAAAAAAAAAAAAAAAAATTACCAGAAGTCTTATTTTAGGGGCTTGCTGGAGGCCCTGTCTACATCTTGCTGGGTGGGCCCATCAGCATTCACGCAGGACACGTGCGTTGTAGAGGAGGGGATTCTGCCCCAGAGGAGGAAGGAGGAGAAAGATCCTGGCAGGGCAACCACCAGTGCCACCTGCATTTCCATGGGATTGAACACCCAGCCCTGAGCCCGCTGGATCCAAAGTATGCACCTTTTTCATTTTGAAAAGCTTTTCCAAGCCAGTCTCCAAAAAGAGTATCACCATTTATACTCCCAGTGACAGTAGACACAAGAACCTTTTCTGTATCCTCAACAGTTGGGTATTATCAAACTCTTCATTTTCGCACACTGGAGAGGTGAAAAATGACTAATTGCTTGGCTCTGCACTTCTTTTCATTATAAATGAGGCCGAACATTTTTTCGTATAGTTATCAGCCATTTGTGAACTTCACGTTGACCTCCTGTGATCATTTCTTCTACTGTCTTGTTTGTTAGCACTCGCTCTTTGTATATGAAGGACACCAATTCTTTGCCTAACATCAGAGTTACAAATATATTTTCCAAGTCAGCTTTGCGTTCAATATTTTGCAAAAGATGAAATTTTATTTTCTCGTGATCAGATTTACTTTTTCTATGAATTCTTAGTTTTGTGTTATATTCAGAAAAGTCTCCCAAACCAAGCATTTTTTAAAAATCTGCATTCTCTTCCAGTGATTTGTAGGTGTTTCTATTTTTATATCTCTGCTCCATTTGGAATTAATTTGTTTTCAGCTATGGAGTAAGAAAGGAATCCAGTTATGCCAATCCAATGTATTACAAGTCCTTTCTCCACTGAATGAAGTCACCATCTTTAACAAGCCAGTTTCTTTATGTACTTTCGTCTCTCTCTGGCTTTTTCTCTTTCGACAATGCTCAATCCAGCCATTCCTTCTCTAGGGCCAACTGTATCTAATACTCCACCTTTATAATTCATTATAATATTTGGTAAAGCTAATCTCCCTTCTCTAGTCTCCATTTCCAGAATTTTCCTGACAATTCTCACGTATTCATTTTTTTCTGTGTACTTCAGCACCATTTTCTCAAAGTCCTCCATAATTTCCTGTTGGTTATTTAACTGGGATTGCACTGATTTCTGGCTGTATTTAGGGAACTCTGACATCATTCCAAAATGGATTCTTCTTCTCTAAGAATAAAGATCATCTCGCCACTCATCCAAGCTTCCTTTTATATTTAATAGCAGAATTTTAACACCTTTTATATTTATATCCTCCACATTTCTTGAGAAGTTTGCTGCTAAATATTACATCATTATGGTTGCTATTATAAATTGGATCTTTTCTTCCATGATAAGTAAAGTTGTGTTTTTATAGTCAAGTCCAAAGATTGATTCAGCAGGTATGGATTGAAACTCCAAGAATTCTGCACTGTTAATCCACAATCCAGCCCATCATGACACTCACTGGAGTCTGAGAACCTTCTTCATTCAACACTACGAATCTCAGATTGGAGAAGAATCTTAGGCCAAGAGAGCAAATTTGTTTCTTCCTGTGCCACGTTTCACATCCTTTGCAATTTTTGAAAAGTAAGAACTGAAATTAGAGTTTTGCCCAGCACAGAACTGACAAGAGGAAATGTTTTTTGTTTTTTTGCGGTAGGCGGGCCTCTCACTGTTATGGCCTCTCCCGTTGCGGACCACAGGCTCCGGACGCGCAGGCTCAGCGGCCATGGCTCAGGGGCCCAGCCGCTCCGCGGCATGTGGGATCTTCCCGGACTGGGGCACAGAACCCACGTCCCCTGCATCGGCAGGCGGACTCTCAAACACTGTGCCACCAGGGAAGCCCGACAAAAGGAAATGTGTTCTTATTTAAGTGAAACAAAACACAAACTCTTAGATTCCCGTGAATGAGCAACTCAGACTCTGCTCAGAGCGAAAGGCAAGACCAAGCCTCCATAAACCGAGTGAAAGGAGGCTCCAGGAGCACGTGGGAAAGT